GGGGCTGTGGGTGCTGTGAGCAGTGTGGCAGAGCTGGCGTGGCAGAGCGGGGCTGTGGGTGCTGTGAGCAGTGTGGCACAGCTGGCGTGGCAGAGCGGGGCTGTGGGGCAGTGTGGTGCTGGGCCATCCCTGCCAGCACCCACCCTCCGGCTTCCAGGGTTCCCCTTCATGCCCCCGTACTGGGGCCTGGGCTTCCACCTCTGCCGCTGGGGCTACTCCTCCACCGACATCACCCGGCAGGTCGTGGCCAACATGACAGCAGCTCGCTTCCCCCTGGTAGGTCTGGGCTGATCCCCGGAGCCTCTGTCCCACAGTGGACATGGGGGGGTTGGTTGATGGGAGCCCCCATGGGCGGGGGTCCCGTGGCACTGGGCAGGAGTCCCTGCTTCCACCCCTGTCACCGTTCACAGGACGTGCAGTGGAATGACCTGGATTACGCAGATGCCAAGAGGGATTTCACCTTCAACAAGAAGAGCTTTAAGGACTACCCGGAGATGGTGCAGGACTTCCACCGCTGCGGGCTGAGGTACATCATGATCGTGGTGAGTGACACCCACAGGGGTGGGCTGGCACTGGGGCTGCAGCCACCCTGAGAGCAGTGATGGAGCTTCCTCTGAGCAAGGCAGGGCTGGCAGTTCCCTGCCCTTGCTGGTGAAGCCCCGGCTCTGTGCCCTGCCAGGACGCTGGGATCAGCAGCTCGGGACCCCCCGGCACCTACAAGCCCTACGACGAGGGACTGAAGAGAGGGGTGTTCATCCGAAATGCCACGGGACAGCCCCTGGTGGGGAAGGTGTGTGTGGGAGCAGCCCCGAGCCCTGCGGGAGGGGGGTCGAGCAGGGCCGTGGGCGCAGGACCCCAAGGGCCAGAGGGAAATGCTCAGGGGGTGGCTGTGATGGAAGGCAGGGTGGTGTGTGGGGTGGGGGGCTCTGCCCATTGCTGCCTCCCTCCCGCAGGTCTGGCCGGGCCCAACGGTGTTCCCGGACTTCACCAATCCGGAGACTCACGAGTGGTGGCACGACATGGTGAAGGACTTCCACGACCAAGTGCCCTTCGATGGCATGTGGCTCGTGAGTGGCCCTGGCAGAGCTGCTGCCTACGGCTCCCTGGCTCCCTCCCTGCACCTCTGCTGGGCCCCAGTGTGGCAGGGAGGGCATCCTGTCCTTCCCCTCCCCAGGACATGAATGAGCCGTCGAACTTCGTGGAGGGCTCCCAGGACGGCTGCCCCCAAAACAACCTGGAGCAGCCCCCCTACGTGCCAGGTACGGGAGTGGGTTCCAGCCCTTCCCGGGGCTGTGGGGACGCCGGGAGGATCCCGGGGGACGCTCCGGTCCCAGCTGGGTGGGCTCTGACCTCTTCCTTGCCCCCGCCCGGCCGGTGCAGGTGTGTTCGGGGGGCGCCTGCGGGCCGGGACCATCTGTGCCTCCAGCCAGCAGTTCCTGTCCTCCCACTACAACCTGCACAGCCTGTACGGGCTCACCGAGGCCATCGCCTCCCACAAGTAAGCCCGGGGCTCCTGCTGAGCTCCTGCACATCCCAGGGGACGCCAGAGCTGGCAGAGAGCCCCAGCGTGGGCAGTGTGGGCACAGGGAAGGCACTGGGCGGGGGGGAAGGGTTTGGTGTGTAACACAGCGTGCTGTGGGGGCTGCTGAGCCCCTTCCCTGTCTGGGCGGTGCTGAGCAGCCCCTGCTCTGCCCTCAGTGCACTGCTGAGGGTCCGGGGCAAGCGCCCCTTCGTCATCTCGCGCTCCACGTTCGCCGGGCACGGGCACTACGCCGGGCACTGGACAGGGGACGTCGGCAGCAACTGGGAGCAGCTCTACTACTCCATACCGGGTAGGCTGTGGGGCACTGGGGGCACATCCAGCCCCGCAGCCGGGGGCTCCCCCACAGGCTCTGTCCCCCCGGCGCCGCGGAGCCTCAGTGCCCGCCGTGCCCCCTCCACAGAGGTGCTGCTCTTCAACCTGTTCGGGGTGCCGCTGGTGGGTGCCGACGTCTGCGGCTTCGCGGGCGACACGTCCGAGGAGCTGTGCGTGCGCTGGACACAGCTGGGCGCCTTCTACCCCTTCATGAGGAACCACAACGACCACGGCACTCGGGTGAGCCCCGGGAGCCCCCACCCTGCCGGGCAGGGGGGCTCTGGGATGAGCGAGCGGGCACGGGAAGGTGGCTGGTGCAGCTGCAGTGCCACGTGCCTTCGGTGCTGGGAGAGTCCGTCCTGCACCCCAGAGATGCACCCGCCCTTCCTCCCCTCGTGCTCTGAGCGTCCCCCTCGGGTCTCTCCCCCGCAGCCGCAGGAGCCGTTCGCCTTCAGCCCGGCTGCCCAGGCTGCCATGAGGGATGCCCTGCGCCTCCGCTACTCCCTCCTGCCCTTCCTCTACACCCTCTTCCACCGGGCTCACACGGCCGGGGACACGGTGGCCCGGCCCCTCTTCCTCGAGTGAGTGCTGGCCCAGCCGGGGCTCAGGGGGAGGTGGGTGCGGGGTCTCCCTGGCGCTGCCCTTCCCTCCTGCAGGTTCCCCACAGACCCCAACACGTGGGCCGTGGACCGCCAGCTCCTGTGGGGCGGGGGGCTGCTCGTCACCCCCGTGCTGGAGGCAGGACAGACCAAAGTCAGCGGCTACTTCCCGGCGGGGACATGGTACAGCCTGGCAGGGGTGGGTGCTCCCTGCTGTGTCGTGGGACTGGGTGGGGGGCTTTGCTGTGGGACCTTGTGTGCATTCCTGCATCCCACTGCTGGTACAGGCCCCCTGGGGCTGTGTGTGGGTCCCCTGCCTCGCCTGCCTTCACTCGTGGCCATCTGAGGGCCGCAGTGCTGGCCCCCTTGGCCACACAGCACCCTGTGCCTGCTCTTCCCTCTCTGTCACCACGTAGGACTCCACCATCCACAGCAAAGGGCAGTGGATCCTCCTGCCAGCGCCCCTGGACACCATCAACGTCCACGTCCGTGCAGGGCACATCCTGCCCCTGCAGGTGAGTCCCTCTGCTCCGTGGTGGCTCCGTGGTGACCTGCCTGGCCAGCCCAGGGTGGTGGCAGTGCCGTGTGACACCGTGGTGACCTGCCTGGCCAGCCCAGGGTGGTGGCAGTGCCATCACCGCAGGCCAGACAGTGCCAAGGGAGCCGTGGCTGCACTGTCCGGGGGACGTGGCTCTGGCAGTGCCCTGATCTGTGCCCGCTCCCACGCCCCAGGAACCCGCCTTCAGCACGGCCCAGTCCCGCGGGAGGGGCATGGCCCTGGTCGTGGCGCTGACCCCGGACGGCTTCGCCAGGGGAGACCTGTTCTGGGACGATGGGGAGAGCTGGGAGACCTTTGAGAGGGGGGACTACACCGAGATCCTCTTCCTGGCCACGCGCGTGAGTGAGGGGGCACCCGGGCAGGGGGGTCCTGGTGGCCCTGGGGCATGTGTGGGCACAGGCAGCACCGTGCCCTGGTGCAGCCGAGCTGTGCGGTGCCAACAGTGCCAGACTGAGCGGCTGGCGGGGTGGAGGGGTCAGCATCCCCTCAGGACGCCCCCTCGGAGGGGGAGAGGCTGCTCTCCTTGCACTGTGGGTACTCTCTGCCCCCCTGGCTCAGTGCCTGGCAGAGGGGCAGCACGAGGAGCGGGGCACCAGGGCAGCCCTGTGTGCCCGTGGGGTGGCTGTGACCCGGGAGCACACGGTGCCATCCCCGCTGTCCCCCAGGGTGCCGTGCTCAGCCAGCTGCTGCGGGGCAGTGCCCACCTCGACGGGGTCCTGCTGGAGGCTGTGACTGTGCTGGGGGTCTCCAGCCCTCCCCGGCAGGTCCTGGCCAACGGTGCCATCGTGAGCGACTTCTCCTACCGCAGTGACACCCAGGTGAGTGCTCGTCCCCGCCCTGGGAAGGGACAGGACACAGCTGAGGGGCTGGCGAGGTCTGGCCCCAGAGATGGCACAGCACCAGCTCTGTCAGCACAGGCTCTGGGGTCACTGCTCTGGAGCTGGGCAGGATTAGACCACGACAGGAGTGAGGATGGGGAGGTGGAGGAAGGAAGGGCTGTGTGGTGATGGGGCTGGAGCTCTGAGAGGAGCAGCAGCACAGCTCTGCTCCTGGGGCTGCCTGCCATGGATGCCCTTCTCTGGGGCTCTGTGGGATCAGGACCATGCCAGGCTGTGGCTCTGTATGGGGGCAGGACACCCCCCTCGGCTCTGACACCTCCCAGGCTCCTTCCCAGCTGGCTCTGCCTGCTGCCAACCCTTCCCTCTGCCCCTCAGGTGCTGAGAGTCCCTGTGTCGCTGCCCATGTGGGAGCAGTTTGTCATCTCTTGGTCCTGAGCCACCACTGGTCACAGGGAGAGGCCACACTGCTCCCCCTGGCTCTGGGGCCGAATCCATCCCATCCTCTGATAACCCAGAGCTGCCACTGCTCTTCCCACACCACAACCCAGAGCTGCCCCTGCTCTTCCCAACCACGCAGCTCCTGGACTTGGGCTGCCATGAGGTGATGGAGGTGTGTGCACTGGACTGGCACAGGGAGGGGGGGCTTGCACAACCCCCCGGGACAGGGAAGACCTCATCATCCTCAAATCGGGGAAAAAAAGACCCAAGTGCCTTGTAAGACAGCAAACCTGTTTCTGTGGGGGACTGGTAACCTGTGGGGAGTCTCCTGGCTGTGGTTTTGGGGAGGGGGATGTGCAGGGGGGGAGGGAGCAGTGCTGTGAATAAAGCTGCTGTTTGCTGGGAGCAGCCCCAGGCCGTGCCCGTGTCCCCTTTGCTGCTGCTGCTCCTGAACTGTGGCTCAGCCCCGTGCCCCTGGCTGGGACACCCTGGTTCCCTCCCTGCCTGGGGGTCTCCAGCAGGGCTGCCTGTGCCCCTCACAGCCTTCACCCCATTTCCCAGAGCGCTGGGGGCCCCCTGGCTGCACCACAGAGCCCCTTGTCCTGCTGTCCTGCTGGCTCCAAGCCGGGGGCTGCTGCAGGGACATGCTCAGCTCCAGGGAGAAATGGAGCCCTGTCCTCCAGAGGCTTTAGGAAGGGGCAGCTTGGCCCTACGGCTCCTCTGGCTGAGAGGAAAGGCACCAGGGTCCCTGAGTGCTCTGGGGCCAGGTGGTGTGGGTGATAGAGAGCAGAGCCTTGTGGTGTCACCCAGGGATTGGGGACTGGTCCATCCGTGATCCCGCTCCAACCCCTGGTGCCCGACGGGACCGTCCCAGAGCAGTGGGGACGTGGCAGAGGTGCCGCTCACAGCTCGTTGTGCAGCGCCCGGCACTGGGGGCTCAGCTTCTCCTCCAGGACAGCGTCAGGGGCGCACACCCAGGGGTCCCCCGTGTCCCACTGCCACTTGAGGAGCTGCGCACGGAGCAGCTGGAGGACGTCGGCGTAGCGGGGGTCAGGGGCCAGGTTCTGGCTCTCGGTGGGGTCGCGGCTGCAGTCGAAGAGCTCCCAGCGCTCCCGGTAGTAGTACTGGTGCAGGGTCTTGTTCCAGTGGGTCGGCTGCCCGGCCCTGGTGCGGTTGAGCAGGTCTTGGAAAGTGGGCGAGACGTAAAAGTCCTGGTCGATGGGAAAGGGCATCTTGTAGTTGAGGTTGTGGATGAGGCGGAACTGCCGGTGCTGGATGGCTCGCATGGGGTAGTACATGGTCACCTCGTGGTGGCTCTGGCTGCTGAAGGCGGTGGCCCAGGACTGCTCTGACTCCAGTGCTGGCAGGAGAGACTTTCCAGTGAGATGCACCTGCTTTGTGCCAAAGATGCTGTAGGAGGGGTAGGGGATGGAGAACCAGTCCAAAATGGTGGGCGTCAGATCTGGAGGGGAAGAGAAGGGTGAGAGGAGGGACTGGCACCGTGGGAGGAAACAACCTGGAGAGGGGCAGAGACGTCCCTTGGGTCTGCAGCTGCATGGGCTGTGGCTGCTCCTGGGAGGAGCTGCAGAGCTGAGCCCTGGGATGCTGTCCCAGAGGGGACCCTGTTCTGCCCTCCCTCCTCTCCCATGCAAGGGCTGCCCCTGGAACAAGACCCTGGGTTTCGGCGTGGGGAGCAGCCCACAGCCCCCGGGCCCAGCTCTGCTCCCTCTCGCAGGCACGGGCTCTTACCCAGGAGGGTGGCAAAGGCCTGGCTGACCTGCCCCCAGCGCTGGGGGTGCTCTGGGGAGGAGATGAGCAGCGGCTCGGCGGTGCCCGAGCGGTAGAGGTTGGTCCTGCCGCCAGGGAAGGGGATGCCGTTGTCGGAGCTGTAGATCACCAGGGTGCTGTTGTGGAAGCCGGCACGCCGCAGCTCCTCCAGGACCAGCCCGATCCCTGCGGACGGAGGGGCAGAGCTGAGGGGGGGGCGGGAGGGTCCACAGCACTCGCCAGTGCCAGCCTGGCCCTGCGCCTCCTACCTTGGTCCATGCGCCCGATGGTCGTGTACTGGGCAGCCAGGTCCGCCCGGGCAGCCGGCGTGTCGGGAACAAAGGGGGGGACCTAAGTGGAGAAGGGGAGAGTGGCACGTGGCCACCACGGGGAGGGAGGTCACAGGTCCACCACGGTGGCCCTCAGCAGCTCTTGCCTGTAATGCTGCTGGCAGTGAGGTGGGGGCCAGCCCTGGCTCCATCAGAGGCTGCCGTCACATGCAGCCCCCACAGCCCCGCGCAGACCCACAGGTTCCCACCTGCACTTGCTCCGGGTGGTAAATCTGTGGCTTCCAGTCAGGGATCCAGCCCATCCCACTCTCTCCGTTGCCAAATTTCTCACAAAAGGCCCCGTACTGGGGCTGGGAGTGCCCGCAGCGATGGGGGTCATGGAAGGCAACGTAGAGGAAGAAAGGCCTAGGGATGGAAGGGGTGGAGGTGGTGGAGCAAAGGGCTGCCCACACCCCGAGACCTCCCTGAGACCCTCTGCTGGGGTGACCTGGGGTTGGCAGGAGGATTCCCACCTAGTCTGGGCTTCTGGATATGGGGTGACCCAGACCAACTGGGATGTGGAGGCTGTCTCACCTCTCATCCTGGCTCTGCAGGAACCGCCGGACGAGCGCTTTGATCCGGGTGATGTTTCTCCCAACCTGCAGGACTGAACTGTTCTCCTCTGTGTAGGCAAAGTCGAAGGGGTACACAGCCTCTGGCCCAACATGCTTCTTCCCAATTATCCCTGCACGAACAGAGACAAGTGTTGTGCCAGGAGCAGCGGGATGGGGGGACATGGCTACCACTGTCTCCTCCCTGGGGGGACAGATGTGGGTCCAGGAGGTGTTCCCTGGCTCACGGGTGGTTTAGCCATCAAGCTCTCTTGCTCACTAGGGTTTGGTGCCCCAAGGGGGGGTTTCCCTTCCCGTGTCCCTTGCCTTTGGCTCCCTACCTGTCCGGACACCCCCTTGGCTGAGCAGGTGGGGCAGGCTCCGCACGCCGTCGAAGGAGTTGAAGTGGTGCACGCCCTGGTGCAGCCCGTACATCCCGTTCTGGTGCTGCAGGTGAGGGGACACAGCACGGTTGGACAAGGGCTGCCAGCCCGGCCCCAAAACACATCCAGCCGTGCTCTCGGTGTGTGAGCGGGGGAAGCAGGTCCTGGGGGCTGGGAAGAGGGTGGGCCAGCAGGCGGGGGGGGTCACCCCGTCCTGGGACTGTGCCACAGGAATGCCAGTTCTGGCCATGTGCCGGGGGCTGGCGGTGCCCCTACCTGCGGTAAGCCGGTCAGGATGCTGGCCCGGCTCGGGGAGCAGCTGCTGACGGAGGTGAAGGCGTTCTGGAAGACCACCCCACGCCGGGCCAGCGCGTCCAGGTTGGGCGTCCGGATGGCCGAGTTGTTGTAGGCGCCGCTCTCAAAGCCCCCGTCATCGGCTGCGGCGGGAGGGGTGCGGGGTGAGCCCGGGGGGACGCGAATGACACCGACAGCATCCCCGGGCTGCGGGTGACCCGGGCCGGGGCCGGTGCTGCGGGGACCGTCCCAGCGGAGGGGATGCAGCGGGACCCGGCCCAGGCAGAGGGTTCCCGGGCTGGGGGCGACGGGCGCGGACCCGGGACCGGCTGCGGGGCTCGGCCGGGCCGGCGGCCGCACTCACCCAGGAGCAGCAGCACGTTGCGGGCCGGGGCCGGGTCCGCGCCGGTCCCGAGAGCTCCGAGCAGCAGCGCCAGCGCCCAGGGCCGCATGGCACCGACACCGGCACCGACACCGACACCGACAGCGGCACCGGCACCGACACCGGGGCGAGGCGGCTCCTCCTCACCCCGGTCACATGAGGCGGCCCCGGCCGCTCAGATCCGGCCCGGGCGGAGCCGCGGTCCCGGCGGGCGGAGCGGGCTGGCACGGCCGGCCCCGGCCCGCCCCGGCCCCGCGGGGGTCACACCCAGCTCCGGGGGGGGTCCCGCCCCGGTACCCCGGGAGCGGAGCTGCGGCCGCGGGTGCCCGGGCCGGGCTGTCCCCTCAGGGCCGGGCTGTCCCCGCCATGCCGGGGTCCCGCTGCCCGGCGCTGCCGGTGCTGCGCTGGCTCCCGCGGTACAGCCGGGCCTGGCTGCCGCTGGACCTGCTGGCCGGGCTGGCCGTGGGCCTCACGGCCGTGCCGCAGGCTCTGGCCTACGCCGAGCTGGCCGGGCTGCCGCTGCAGGTGGGTGCCGGCGCTGGGAGCCGGGGAGCCCCCGCTGCCTGAGCTGCCCGTGACCGGGGTGGCCTGGGACACTCTCCCTGAGCTGCCCGTGACCAGGGTGGCCTGGGACACTCTGTCCCTGAGCTGCCCGTGACCAGGGTGGCCTGGGACACAGTTCCTGAGCTGCCCGTGACCAGGGTGGCCTGGGACGCTCTTCCTGAGCTGCCTGTGACTGGGGGGCGCGGGGATCCCCTGCTCCCCGAGCCGCCTGCAGCGTGGCGGGCAGGGCTGGGCTGGGCTGGGCTGGGCTGAGCTGGGCGACCAAGGGCCGACCCTGTGCAGATGCCCGTTTCCCGGGCAGGAAGCTCCTGACGTCCTGTGTGTGCCAAGTGCCCTGGAGTGACCCGAGACCAGCCCAGCCCTCCTCGCCGGGGAGGTTTCTGGCCTCTCCCAGCGTTGTGCCAGTGCCCCTTCTGCCCCCCCGCAGTATGGCCTCTATTCCTCCTTCATGGGCTGCTTCGTCTACTTCTTCCTGGGCACTGCCAAGGACGTGACGCTGGGTCCCACGGCCATCATGTCCCTGCTGGTCTCCTCGTACGCATTCCACGAGCCTGTCTATGCCGTCCTGCTCGCCTTCCTCTCTGGCTGCATCCAGCTGGCCATGGGGCTCCTGCACCTCGGTGAGATGCTCTTGCCATGCACTATTGTATTTTTAGGATGTTGCTGTACATCCTATAGTTGTTCCCCCCTCCTCTCAGCTCTCCGGGACACTGGGGTCATCCTGCTAATGCTTGTGACAGCTCTGTGTGCACACAAACACCCCGTTTGGGTGCCTACCAGGGCCAGCAGTGTGCTCAGTGCTGCCCATCCCATGCAGGATTCCTTCTGGATTTCATTTCCTGCCCTGTCATTAAAGGGTTCACATCGGCTGCTTCCATCACCATTAGCTTCAACCAGGTCAAGGTAGGATCTGCTCTGCCCTGGGTGCCTCACCAGCTGCCTCCTAGGGCTGTGGAACTGGGATATTTAGCACCAGGCTGGGTGATGTGCTTGGTACCAGAGGAAGGAGCCCCAAAGGGGTCATGAGACGCCCTGCCAGCAGTTCTGCTGGGTCCCTGAGAGCTCTGCTCTGAGCAGACCAAGCCGAACACACCCTTTGCCTGTGACCAGCTGGTGACATCCAGGACAGCAGCAAAACCAGGACATTTGATTTGGTGCCTTGCAGGGGGCGCTGGGTGATTCTCTGGCACGGTGGGTTTGCAGTGATGGGAGCTGCAGGGGTTTTTTTGCGGCCCCTCAGCTCCTCACTGGCCTCTCAGGGACCTGAGGCCGTGCGGCTCTGCTGGGGCTGCCACACTTCCTCTGTGGTTACCCCAAATCAGAGCCTGTGCCAGCAGCTGGCAGGCCGCTGTTGGGTAATGGCTGCGGTCGTGGGGGCCGGCGCGGCTCCAGGGGCCGAGGCACCCGGCTCAGGCTGTCACCAGGCTTTGTCTTCCTGCACAGAACATCCTGGGGCTGCAGGGGATCCCGAGGCAGTTCTTCCTGCAGGTGTATGAGACGCTGCGGAGGATCGGGGAGACCAGGTCGGCACCTTCCCCGCTCCCTGCCCTGCAGCTGTGGGGCCTCAGGCTCTGACACTTCGCTCCCCATCTCTTTGGTCACGCCTTGGACTGATTTCTCGGTCCCTGCCCAGCACTGTGACACAACCCCCCTCTGGCGGGGCTTTGGGGGGGCTCTTCCTGTGCCCCAGAGCGTGTTTGGGGTGGCACTGATGTGGCTGTTGCAGGGCTGGGGACGCTGTGCTGGGGCTGGCCTGCCTGGCCGCGCTGGCAGCGCTCCGGGCCATGAAGAACCGCCTGCCCCAAGCTGCCTCTGCGGAGCCACTGGCTGCCAGGATCAGCTGCCGGATCGTCTGGATCTCTGCCACAGGTGTGCCAGCCATCCCCTGCCCTGTCCCCCAGCCATCCCTCCTGGGGGCTTGTCACTTTGGGGCAAGGAAGAGACAACCCCGAAACTGGTAAAGCCCAGGTTGGCAGGAGCCGAGACGTGGGAAATGGGTCGGGGAGGACAAAGTCCTAAGGGTGGTCCTGCCACTGTGCATGCCCCTTCCCAAGGCTTGGAAGTCCTTGGCAGCTCAGATACCCATCTCCAGCCATCCCTCCCGCTGCCCTGGGCTCCGGGCAGGTTTCCAGGGTTGCTCTCTCCTCTGCAGCACGCAACGCCCTCGTCGTCCTGTTTGCTGGCCTGGTCGCTTACTCCTTCCAGGTGATGGGCTCCCAGCCCCTCACGCTCACCGGCAGCATCCCCCGGGGCCTCCCTCCCTTCCGGCCGCCGCGCTTCTCCCTGGCAGCGCCCAACGACACCGTCCCCTTCCCCAGCATGGTGGAGGTGAGTGCCGGGATGGCTGGTGGAGGCCAAGCTCCCCTTGGGCTGCTCTGCTCCCTCCTGTGTGTGCTGGCTCCCTGCACGGTGGGATGAGGCCGCTCCCGGCCCTCCCTCACCGTCCCCTTCCCTCCCAGGACATGGGGGTCGGGCTGGCCGTGGTCCCGCTCATGGGCCTGCTGGAGACCATCGCCATCGCCAAGGCTTTCGGTACGGCTGTGCCAGGGCCCTGCCCTGCGCTCGGGGGGGGGGTCCCACAGGGGCTCGGGGTGCTGGGGAAGGTGCTCTTCTCACGAGGGCACTGAGGGGTACAGGTCTGCCTGTGCCGAGCCCGTTCCATCGTGTGGGCTGGCAGGAGGGGTCCCGCAGGGGGCACAGCTGAAATTGGCCCTGGAGGTGGGTGTTGTCTCAGGGTGCTCCCATGCCCGAGGGCTGCGGGACAGGGCCCACACTGTCCCAGTCAGTGCTGGCCCTGCTCCGTGTGGGTGGCGGGTTGTGCCTGTGGGAGTCTCTGGCCAATGCTGGTATCTCCTTTCAGCCTCGCAGAATGGTTACAGGATTGACCCCAACCAGGAGCTGCTGGCTTTGGGTAAGACACTGCTTGGGTCTGGCTTCAGCGCTACCGTGTATCCCAGAGCTCCTGAGCTACACCAGATCCCATCTCAGCAGTCCTACCTCTCCCTGAAGTTTTCCCTCTCTTACCTTGCATGCATCCCCCCACCAAAGCTGTTCCCACAGCTTAGGAATTTCCAGAGCAGGCTGAGTCACACTTGCACAGCGGGATGGGCTCTGATCTGACTGCTGGCACTGGGGTTGGAGGAGGTGCTGATGGGGACACAGACCCATGTCATGGCCCTGGCGGTGCCTCCCCAGCCCCTCTCCTTCCCCTCCGCAGGTGTTGCCAACATCCTGGGCTCCTTCGTCTCGTCGTATCCCATCACGGGCAGCTTTGGCCGGTGGGTAGCAGGAAGGGGGGGCAGACCCCAGCCCACAGGACACTCACTGGGCCTGTGGGGTGAGGGGGCTCTGCAAGATCTTGGGTGGAAGATTGTGCAGACCCCAGTGGGTCTCTGAGCTTATGTCCTGGTCCCAGCAGCCCACCTTGGTGGCCAGGCTGTGCGTGTGTCCCATGGCCACCTTCTCTCCCGTCTCAGTGCTCTGCAGTCCCGCTGCGGGCTGGGAGCCACTTGTGTTTCTTGCTCGTGTTTCTCCCTCGTGGGGTCCGGCAGGGTCGGTGATTTTCCTGGGTGGGGGGCCTGGGCAGTGGGTGGGGGCAGCCCCTGGCCCCCCCCGGCCCCCTCACAGCCCAGGACGTGTTGCTTTGCCTTTCAGGACGGCGGTGAACGCGCAGTCAGGGGTCTGCACCCCCGTGGGAGGGCTCGTCACAGGTGGGGCCCTGACCCTGCTCTGCAGGCCCCCCTGCCTGGGAGCCCTGGGCATCAGGGACCCCGTGGCTCAGGGGCTCCCCCCGTCCCGCAGGTGCCCTGGTCCTGCTCTCCCTGGCCTACCTCACCTCGCTCTTCTACTACATCCCCAAGGCCGCCCTGGCCGCCGTCATCATCTCGGCCGTGGTGCCCATGTTCGATGTTGGGATCTTCAGGACGCTCTGGAGGGTTAAGAGTGAGGGCACGAGCTGGGGGAGGCTGATCCCCCAGTGCAGCCCAGCTCTGCCTGCAGAGCAGGCCCTGTCACTGAGGGCCCTGTGGCACCAGGACAAACCAAAGCTGAGCCTGGGCTGTCTCTCTTGCAGGGCTGGACCTCGTGCCCCTCTGCGTGACGTTCCTGCTCTGCTTCTGGGAGGTCCAGTATGGAATCGTGGCCGGGGTGCTGGTCTCAGGGATTCTCCTGCTCTACTCCATTGCCAGGCCCCCAATAAAGGTGGGCTTCACACCTCCCCTTGGATGTGATCGCCAGGGATCTGGGAGGGGGTTCATGAGGGCAGTGAGGTGTTGGGGTGCAGGATGCTTCTGTCCTGTTCATGCCCTCTCCCGTGTCACCAGCCTGCGATGGGCACAGCACAAGGGACCTCTTTAAAAGAGCACAAGGGAGGGAATCTCCCAGGATTGGAGAGCAGAATGGGGAGGCATTGCTTTCCCTGTCCTGCTGACGCTGGGTGTGGGCAGGAGGGGCTTTCCCTGAGGGCTGGGGGCTCCTGCGTGTCCCCCTCCATCCAGGAGGACAGTGAGTGACACGGGCAGTTGTCCCCCCCGGGAAGGTCACAGCCCTGAGTCCCCAGTGACTTGTCCCCCTTCCCCGGGGTCTGTGCAGGTGTTGCAGGAGGGGGACGTGCTCCTGGTGCAGCCGGGGAGCAGCCTGCACTTCCCAGCCATCGAGTGCCTCCGGGACACCGTGTGCAGCCGTGCTCTGGCAGGTATGGTCCCACCCCTGCCAGCCCCGGCCCTGGCTCTGAGGGCTGTGACCCCTGGGCTGGCCATTTCTGGACTCGTCAGGGACGTGACCTTATGCTCTTCCAGCAGCATCTCCACCCCGCTCCATCATCCTGGACTGTTGCCACATCAGCAGCATTGATTACACAGTGGTGGTGGGGCTGGCAGAGCTGCTGCAGGAGCTGCGCAAGCACGGCCTCTCACTGGCCTTCTGTGGCCTGAAGGTGTGTGGGACCTTGGCCACCCCATCCCGGGCTCTGCTGCCCCATCCCAGACCCTGCTGCCTCTCCCCTGCAGCCTGGGGAGGGTCTCTGTCGATGGGCTCAGCCCGGCTGCCTCCCCCCATGGTCTGTGCTGGCCTCTCCTCTGGTAGCACCTTTATCATCTCAGCACCTTGCACAGAGGTGGAGGCTGCAGGATGTGGGTGGTGGGAAGGGCTGGATCCTCTGCTCTGGGCTGGCTGGGGGCTCAGCTCTGGAGGGAAGTGGCCAGTGCTCCCCCAGCCCAAGTTTCTCTCCCTCAGGACCCTGTTCTCCAAGTCCTCCTGTCTGCTGACTTAGAAGGATTCCAGCATTTCCCCAGCCGGGAGGAGGCAGGTGAGGCTCTGGGCTGCCCCTGGTGCTCTCCCAGGATGCTGCTGAGTGGGGCTCTGCAGGATGAACCTGGGGGTCTGACCTTTGTCGAGCCCCAAAGCAGCAGTGGGGGGGCTGCAGGGACCTGGCTGCTGGGAAGGTGAGCTGGTCACCTCAGCCTCAGGGTGAGCTGTCGTGGTTTAACCCAACAGCAGCTCAACACCACACAGCCCTTCACTCCTCCCACAGAGAGGTGGGGAGACAAAGAGAAAAGAGGTTAAACTTGTGGGTTTAGATAAAGACAGTTTAATAGGACAGAAAAAGGAAAGGAAAATTATGATAATAACTAGAGAATATAGCAAGCAAATGATGCACAGGGTGGTTGCTCACCACCCACCGACTGATGCCCAGCCAGTCCCTGAGCAGTGGCTCTCACCCCCCCAGCCAAATCCCCCCAGGTTTTTGTTCAGCACCACATCCTGTGGTCTGGAACATCCCTTTGGGCATTGGGGTCGCCTGTCCTGGCCGTGCCCCCTCCCAGCTTCTTGAGCCCCCCAGCCCCTTGCTGGCCAGGCAGTGTGAGAGCCTGAGAAGTCCTTGGCTTAGTGTAAGCACCACTCAGCAGCAGCAGAGCCAGCAGGGTGTTATCAGCAGGATTCTCATCCTGAACCCAAACACGGCTCTGTAGCAGCTCCTTGGAAGAAAACTAACTCTGTCCCAGCTAAAAGCAGGACAAAAGTCTGGCCTTAACTTGCTTCTCCCCTTCCTGGCCCAGAGCGGTGCAGAGGAGCAGAGCCCTGGGACAGCAGGACCGACCCCTTCACCAGCACCACCGAGAGCTCGGGGCTCATCCAGTGAGTGAGGAGTCACCGTTTGTGCTGGGGTTGGATGTCCTGTGACACCCCAGTGACATCAACACCCTCTGTGGGACCCGCCTGCCCATGCCCAGCTCCTGGGCAGCTGGGGATGGACTGTCCCCATGTCCCACATCGGGGAGGGCAGAGCAGCACCAGCCCAACCCCACACAGGCTGAGGGGAGCACTGGGACCAGGGGTCTGCTGGTCCCACACCGGCCCCCAGCCCCGTGGGGCTCTCGCCTCCTCCACAGGCCGAGGGCAGGCACTCCCTGGAAGGGATCAGTGGGACAAAACCATTCCCTGTCCCGGTGATCAGTGCAAAGTTATCACTCCTTCACAGAGCTGCTGTCTCTTTTTAATCCACTGTTTTAATTCTGGACATTTTTCATGTTCTGGGCCACACCGACAGCGTGCTCTCCTCAAAGAGAGTTTCAGGGCTGCTGGCTCTGCCCTCCAGCCCGAGGGCATGTGACAGCTCAGGAAAACATCCGGGACTGTGCTCCTCACTGATCCCTCGTTTGTGGGTGTTGTGCCAAGCAGGGGCAGGGCTGGGCTGTCCCCCTGGGGTGCAGCCCCTGGCCCGAGCCCTGCCGAGGGGTCAGGCACCTGTTACAGCAGCCCGGCGGGGCTGGGCAGGGTCGGGAGTTGAATTTTCCTGAGCAGCCCTCCCGCTGGCACCTGGAACGGAGGGTGTAATAAATCAGGGGAGGGTGTAATAAATCAGGAATTGCTAATGAGTCAGCGCGATCTCTGTGTTTCTGGGGGAAAGCTTTTCCTTTGGTGTGGGATGGGGAAATTCCCTTCCGGGCGCTGCTGAGCACTCCAAGGAAAAGAAACTGAAACCAGTCTCGGCTGCCCGGATGATCCGAGCCCGAGGGCACAGTTCGGCGCAGTTCCTCCTGCCGGGGGTGTGTTGCGGGTTTTGCAAGAGCAGCAGAGGTGCCCAGGAGCCACACGCAGGTCCTGCCGTGGGGTGTTCATTCCTGCAGCAGAGCAGCGCCGGGCGGTGAGTTCCCTGCTGCACCCCGGGGATGCTGGGAGCGGGAAAATAGGAGTATGGGGGTCAAAAGGGCCGATTGTGTGGGAATAGTGTGTGTGCTCAAACCCGGGTGAGCGCTAGCGGAGATCAGGTGTGCTGGGAGCCCGGCTTCAGCTTGGTCCTCGTTGTATCCGGGATGCGGCAACAGCGGCATTCCCACTTTTTACTGTTGGATCCACTTTTGATTGTCGGATCCAGCATGACCTGCTTTCCTGCAACACACTTGCCCCCATGGCCCCCAGCCCTGCTCCAGCCGCCTGCGGAGTGCCGGCAGTGGGGGGTTGGTGTGTCTGTACCCCACCAGCCCAAAGCAGGAAAAGTGGGGGCTCCGCCGGGGATTTGGGGGCTGCGGGAAACGCAGGGAAGGGGCTGAGCTCCAGGCCCGTCCCCCCGGGGCTGCCCCGGCGAGCAGCACCCGCTCCCTCCCGCCGGCAGCGGCTCTTTGCCGGTGCTCGGGAGGTGCCGGGTGGGTTCCCGGGGGGTGCCAGGGGGTACCCGGCGGCCCCGCCACGCCCGGGCCCCGCGGCCCCCCAGGCCCCCGGCGGGATGGGGGGACCGGACGGGGCGGGGCGAGACCCCATCGGGAGCCGCCCGCGGGAGGCGGCCGGAGAAGGGATTGGCCGGGTCACCGGGGGCCGGGCGGGGACCGTGACGTGCCAGAAACGAAACTTGGCGGCTCGGCGGAGAAACGAAACTTCGCCGGGCGGGAGGCGGCGGCCCGGGGCGGCCGAGCGGGCGCTGCAGGTGCCGGTGCCCGGTCCCCGGCCCCTCGGTGAGTTGCGCTGCCGGTGCCGGCGGGTGACGGGACGGGACGGGGTGGGCGCCGGGCCTGGGCTTGCGGGGGGGCTCCGGTGCGGGCGGCGCGGGGTCGGGGGACTTGGGGGGTTCGGGGTCGGGGGACTTGGGGGTCCGGGGAGGGCGGCGCTGCGGTCTCCGGGCTGCGCTGCAGCCTCCCGGTGCGCCCGGAGCCCCCTTGCTGTGCGCCGATCCCCCGGCGCGCCCCGGTGCGCCCGGAGCCCCCCCGTTGTGCTCCGATGCCCCGGTGGCCCCGAAGTCCTCCCGGTGCGCCCCGATCCCCCGGTGCGCCGGGCCATCCCCGGGCACTCCCATCCTGCTCCCCGGACACTCCCGTCCTGCTCTCTCGGCCCCGTTCACCGGGACGGCCCCTCCCGGCCGTGCCCCCCCCCCCCCCGGTACCGCCGGCCCCGCCCCCGCCGGTGCCCCCGGGAGCCGAGGTTGGCCCCGCCCCCCGCGGTACATAACGGGCCTCATTTGCATACGGCGGGGCGCCTCGCCGCGCCATTGGCCCATCCGCGGGGTCATTTGCATATAACCCGGGAGGAGGCGGGAGAGCCGCCTATCCGCGGGCTGCGTGCGCGCCTAATTTGCATACAGGCCCCGCCCAGGAGGCAGCACCGCCCCGGG